CTGTGGTTTACGTATTTACCTTTAAATTCATAATAGCAACCATATGAAACATGGGTCATGGCTTAGTCGCAAGCGAGTTAGCTTTACATCTGAAAGGTTTCGATCTCCGATATATTCATTTTTTTCCCTTACACTCTGACTGATTTATACATATATCTAATTTAAATTATAAGGGTTATTTTAATTTTACGATTTTTCGAAGAAGTGAAATTGTTGGACACTACTTCATGAGGTACATACCATTCAAGCAATTTTTTTTGTATTAAGGAAATCCCATTTTTTCTTTAATTACCCAAATGTTGGGAATCTTTTGTTGGCATTCAAAAAATTAAACCAGTTATCAAATAAGCAGCTTCCTATTCTGAGTTTATGTTTTTTTAGAATAAGGCGTTTGTATCAATGCAAATTCAAGTCCTCGATAGCAGAGGAGCTGCTAAAAATCCACTATTTTCTTTGATTCTTGTTGTGAATGACACCTGATTTAGAGTTGCTTATAAAGAATAATTAAAAAAAAATGTTAATGAGTTCATTTATTTTATTGATTAGATCAATAATAATAAACCCAAACTGTGGTTATTTACAGTTACAATACATAATATACATAATTTATAAGTGACTCTGAAGCAAGAATTACAGAATACTAACTAAAATTTATTTATTTATCGCTCCAGGAAGTCGATAATGTCATTAAAACAAATTGTTTAATAAAGTTATCTAGATCCAGTTAGTAACATGTTTCTATCAAAAAGATCTGTTCTATTAATCGAAGAAATTTAACCGTAATTTTTTTTGCACAAGATGTTAGACAAACGTTTGATATTTTCTTATCGAATATCACTTTTGCCCACATTTATTGCTGCTAGTTGTGCCACCACATACCCATTTGTATTTTTGTTTTACATTTCTTTTTAATTCACGAGTAATTACCTATATTGTAATTCGATGTTTTTTCGACGTTGCGTAAATCTTAGAATATGACTGTTCTCCCGTTTCGTCTGACTGGGCTTTGTAGTTGTGAAATTTTAGACATGTGTTAACGATATTATGTAAATTTAACCAAAATTTGTCTGACCGTTACCATTAAAAATTTGATGTTATTTCATTTTTCGACCACCTTCGAAAATTAGCCAAACATTTATTTTCTTGTCCATCTCGATCCCCACAAGTTATTTTTGGCTACATTTCGTCGAAAAATTCTACTACTTTTTTTAGATTTTACGTTCCAGCCGAATCTTTCAAAAAATTTGGTCCGAGACCGCTGTATTTTTCAAATCATCCATATTCCGGAAATTTTTGTTAATTTTTCGGAGCCTAATTTTCCAGTACCAATCTTATGAAATTTTCATCTTTTCATGATCCTTTTTCGACCACCTTCGAAAATTCCTACCATTTTTGCAGAATCGCCAATTGAAATATAGCAATTCTTATTAAAAAAAATCAAACCGACTATTTCAAAAAGCTTGCTTTGGTACAAATGGTAGAATAAAACCTTCTTATTTTTCGAATTAATTTAAGAATGTTTTGTTTATTTTAGCAACTTTTCTAAAAACTCCATTTTTCAATATGAAATCTTTGATAATTTTTCAATCACCCTGGAAAATTAGCTGAAGATATTTATTGTAGATTGTGTTATGTACGTTCATTTCAACCTCTAAAAACTATTTTCGTCTCCACGTCTTTGAAAATTATTGCCACTTTTTCAGAAGAGTCAATTGAAATACGGCAGTTTGTATGATTTAAGAAAAATGACTTTCAAAGCGATTATAAAATTTAATTTTGCTATTCTTTTTGGTTAGAACGTCTATAAAGTAAAAAATAATTAATGATAAACTACAAAAATAGATCCAAAATATTTTGCACATTTAGTGATGGCATCATCCATTTGAGAGAAGGGAGGAGATAAAGTTTTATTATTATTTACAATACTTACGATAACTTTAAAATATTTGCGAGACTTCGAACTATTCGATTTTCGCTTAACACAGATTCATAAACCATAAGTGGAGGAGTATGTTATTTTATCAAATTTAAATAGGAGTAACATTTACTACGGCAAAATTTTGGTAGGAGATACATTTTTATGAATAATTTATTATGCTTCCGATAACCTTAAAGATCGGTTTATAAACTTGTCGCTGACGTTGCCGTTCGCCGTTGACGTTTCCGTTGTAAGATAAATATGCAGCGAAGATAGGCGTCGTTTATATCATCCGTTGACGTTGCCGTTGGGTTTTCAACCAAAGTAGGGAGGACATTTTTCTGGTTGACAGTACTAATTCCACGAAAATCAAATTTTAATAGAGATAATGATCACTAATATTAAGCCATTTAATCACCTGTTAACCGAAAGCCTCATATTTTAAATAGCTGCCATCATTTTCTACACTGTAGCTTTCTGTCAATACTTACGCACTGTTAAAGACAGCTCTCGACGTTTAAATCAACCAGATTTATTGCTTTTCGTCTCAAAGACAGATTAGGTATTATAACTACAATATGTGTAGTCTTCTTTTCACAACAAGAAAGGTAAAACATGTTTAAAATGGTAAATTTTTGTAGGAAAATATCGATTTTACAATTAGGCTCCGCCCCTCGGTCTGACAACGAGTGAAAAATCCATCACAATTGAGCTTGGGATGGATATAGGTGGGGCTTAATGTTTGGCTTGTTTTCTTAATATACATAGTATTCTTTGAGCAACACGATACTCAAAAACATGTTTTTTATTTCTTGTATAGAAATAATAAGGATTTTGCAATTAAGCTCCTCCCCTTTAGTTCACGACTAATAAAAAATCCACATAATTGAGATAGGGCGGGTGGAGGAGGCTTACATTTTGCCTTTTTTTCTAATATATATAGTCATCTTTTCACAACCAGAAACTTCCAACATTCATCACGATTGAGATCGTGACGGATGGGTTGGGCTTCTCTTTTGGTTTTCTTTTTTAATTAATACATCTAGGGCCGGTTTATAGAAAGCGAATTAAATATTTAATCCTCGATTAATTTAACAGAGGATTTAAATGTAGGATATCAGCCAATGATTGGTTAAAACATCCACGTTGCCTACCAACGGAGCTCAATTAAAAGTTAATCGCGAATTAACTTTAATTCGCTTTCTATAAACCGGGTCTTAGTTTTCTTTCTATAACACGATTACTTAAGAACATATTTCACATGGTAATTTCTCACAGAGAAATAAGGATTTTACAAATAAGCTCAGCCTCTCGGCTTACGACAAATAAAAAAATAATCAGAATTGAGACAGGGCGGGTGGGCGGGGCATAATATTTTGGCTTTTTTTTCTTAATATACATAGCGATCTTTTCACAACAAGAAATTTAGAGCATAGTTAAAATTGTACCTACATTTTTGTAAGAAAATATGGATTTTGCAATTATGGGACGGTGGCTATTGCAAAATCGATGTTTCCTTATACAAATTTTCCATTTTAAACATGTTTCATGTTGTGAAAAGAAGTCTACACATATTAAAACAAAAAGACAAAACGTTACCCCGCCCACCCCCCCTGTCTCAATTGTGATGATTTATTTTATTATACTTATTTCTTTACAAGAAATTAAAAACATGTACATATTTGAGTATCGTGTTGTTAAAAGAATACCATATACATTAAGAAAAAAGGACAAAATATAAGCCCCGCCCACCCACCCCAACTCGATTCTGATGATTTTTTTTTTAGTTCTTAGAAACTTAAAACACGTTTAAAATAGTAAATTTTTGTAAGGAAATATGGATTTTGCAATTAGATTCCGCCCCTAGGTCTGCCAACGGATGAAAACTTCATTACTATTTAGATTAAGGCAGGTATGGGTGAGGCTTAATCTTTGGCTTTAATTTTTTCTTAATATATGTATGTATATAGTATTCTTTGAGTAACGCGATGCGCAAAAACATTACATGGTAATTTCTTATAGAGAAATAATAGGGATTTTGCAATTGAATTCCGTTTCTTTGGCTCTCGACGATTAAAAAAAATCATCACATTTGAGATAGAGCAGGTGGGCGGGGTTTATATTTTGCTTTTTTTCTTAATATACGTATACAAGAAACTTAAAACATGTTTAAAATGGTAAATTGTTGTAGACAAATATGGATCTTGAAATCTTTGGCTTTATTTTTTTCTTAATGTACATAGTATTCTTTGAACACCACAATACTCAAAAACATTTTTTTAATTTCTCGTGAGGAAAAAAGGATTTTGCAGTTAAGCCCCGCCTTCTTGGCTCACGACGAATAAAAAAAATCATCACAATTGAGATAGGGCGGGTGAGCGGGGCTACATTTTGCCTTTTTCTTCTTCATCAACAGCAAGTTTATAAATCCCACTTAAAACGTCTGCCAGATTTCAAACTATCCGCATTTGTAGTCTCCATGTTAAATTACAAAATATATGTGGTTATACAATTTTGATTTTTTTTACCAAAAATTTGGATATCTAGGATAAAAACTCAACACTGATTCATAATCATAACCCATATGTATAGGAGTATCCTATTTTATAAAATTGAAATAATGTTTATTAATGTAATTAACGTAAAATAAAAAAATACCCCCATCAAAAAATGCGATGACATCATCAACATTCCAAAGAAAAGAATAAATAACTTTCAATCATTGCTCTGTAATAATTACATATGTTATTAATTATTATCCTTCGAAATTATCAAAAAAGTTAGTTTTCTACTATTAACCTGTATTTGTAATTAAAATATTATATGGAATAATTGTAACAATAAAAGTACTAAACGCATAATTACAATGAAGTAAAATTCGGTATGTGGTTAACTTAACACTAAAATTCCTCGTTTTAATCTTAAATTCATTAATTAATGAAATTTTGAGCACACGTAGGACTGCAATCACCTAATCACGTTCTCAAGGCTAAATATATTCCATCCAACTCATTGAATTTTGACGCTTCTAACGATTGCAAACAACGCCAAACAAAAACCAGATAAAGAAAAATCGACTCACCTAATTAGGACTAGGAAAGGGTAAGCGGCAACTCGTTCATGTCTGAAAAAGAGACCATTTTAAAATCACAATTATTTCCACATGTGGCAGATGTAAAGAGGAGGCGAAGCGGCAAAAACTCAACTTGAACAACGTTCGAAAATAATAATAAAACAAAGCATGAAACAGGCGGCCATCATTTACCTGAATCGACCGGTTTACTTTCGTGTACCGGTGCATTTTCGAAGACTGTACATTAATCGCTGTTAAAATTCACTCTGACTGCCGTCACTCTTCATTTTATTCGATAAAAAGAGACGGTTTCCACTTGCACGCGACATCGACAACTACCGAAGGAAAACACAGACGAGATGCTTCATTGTATAAATATAAAGAATAAGCATGTGGCGTCAAATTTAAATAATATCTAGCTGGAATCTCTGCGGAACGCGTAACCGAACGTATAAGAAATAATAATCGTGGAGAGGATGTTGTTTTTTCATTTTGTTACTGTTTGTTATTCATTATTTTTCTGTATTCCCGCTGGAAAACACGGAATTGGAAGAATTGTGCAAATTCGAAACTTAAAAAGATATTTATCGCGCCGTTTATTTACTATTTGCTTAAAGAACGATACGGACTAGGAAATAGTTCTTTTAATATCCATCGTTGGCGCTTTTCCGGGTTGTGTACGGAAAATTGTTCTGTTGTTAAACTATAACTTTCCAAAGGCAAATAAAAAGAAAACTGTATGAATATGCATCGCTACACAAGTAAAACCAGTGTCAGAAATAACTTCCACTTGGGTGATACGATAAGATCTAAGCGAATTTTCCTGCACATGCTTATGGAGCTTTCCCTTAGTTGGTATAATAAAGCAAGGACATTACTGCATTCAATTAAAGAAGCATGTCTTCATGCTGACCCTTATCGACCTCATGGAGGCGTTGGATATTACTCTAAAATTCCCTACTACCGTAACTATTAATTGCAACGTTGGTTCTAGCGCACATACTATATTAAACATCTTTGAAAAGAACAATAAAGACCGCCAGAATGCGTTCACGCTTTAAAATTTAAAATACCTCCGCAGCCATTAACAGGTTATTACGAATTTCTAGGAAGTTCAAACTGTTTCTCAAAGTTATAGGATGCTTCCGCCATCTCGAAAGAATTTCAATCTACGGTAAAGAGATGGAGAGAGAGCGCGAGGTATACTAATAAGGTTATACATATTTATTTAAAGACTACACATAAATAGTACTTCTTCGCTGTTTTTACAATTAATTCTGTAATACCTGGTCACGAATTAAATAAATACCAGGAACACTACGTGTTGATATACATCTACATACATGCCGGTGACACAATAGAAATCCCCATATGGTCGACGTAGACGAAATGAAAGCTGTTCTAATGTACTAACGTAATGTAATACAAATTGATACAACACGAAGATGTCGCGATTTATTAATACATGGTTTGCAGTATATGAAGTAAAAATTGGTCGACGAACTTTCCTCGTCGCAGAAGTACAGCAATTACAATTTTTTTTGCGATTTTTGTTTACTGATAACCTCTATGAAGTTAAACCCAGTGACGTAAATAAGACTGCCCCAGCTTTTTTTTTTTTTGTTTATTCAGCTTCACGATTTGCAAATCGTCGATTCGGTTTTTTATTTTCTTTATTTTAACAATTTTTCGATTTGTAGATTTACAATTTTTCATTTTTTGTTTCTTCAATTTGACGATATGCAATTCTTCGAGTTTTCATTTTTAACTTTTTCAGTGCTTCGATTTACCAGTTTTTGAATATTTCATTTTCAGATTTTCGAATTTTTCCGTTTTTCATTTGTTCAGTTTTTTGGCTTGCACTTTTTCGTTTCGGTTTTTTATTTTTTAAATTTCAATTTTTCGCTTTTATCAAATTTTGGATTGTTTAATTTTTTTTCAATTTCAGATGTTTCAGTTACTCAATTTTTCGTTTCTTCAATTTTTGATTTACAACTTTTCTAGTTCTCATTTTAAGATTTAAATTTTTTTCCATTTTTCAATTTTTTGATTTTTAATTTTTGAATTTTTCGATGTTCAATTTATCAATTTTTCGATCTTTTAGTGTTACAGTTTGTCAAATTTCCAATTTTGACGATTCGATTCATTTTTTCTTCTTTCCAATTTTTCGATTCTTTAATTTGTTTTGGTTTTTAACTTCCTCGATTTTTAGTTTTCAATGTTACAATTTTTTATTTCTTCAGTTTTTCGATTTGTAATTTTCCGATTTTATACTTTTTCGATTTAGCAATTTCTCGTTTTTTTAGTTTTTCCATGTTTCAATCTTTTTCAACATTTCAACAGAACCGCATCCGCTGGTCACTGCCACCATCACTTACCGAAGTTCTGGGTGATCTCCCAGCTGTGGAAAAGCTATTGCAGTTCCTCACAACAGCCGGCCTTCTGCAGTTAATCTAAGGATTGCAAATTGTATTATACATCTTGAATTGTACCGCCTTGTCACTAATAACCCTTCGTGGTTGATGTGACAATAAACATTTACATAAAAAAAAAAAAAAAATCTTTTCTGATTTTTCAACTTTTAATCAAAAAACTTAAAAATAGACGTGTAAATTCTAAAAAGCGAAATGCTGTAAAATCGAAATACTAAAAATTAAAGAAATTCAAAAATTGCAAAATTGAAAAATTTTAAAATTGGAGTTCGAGCAATTGAAAAATCAATGATTGAAAATTTGAAAGATTGAATAAGCGACAAATTATAAAACCAGGAAAAGTGAAAATAGAAAGTATGAACTTCAAAAATTGAAGAAACAAAAAATTGAAAAATCCAAAAATGAAAAATTGTAAAATCGAAAAATTGCAAAATTGCAAATCCAAAAATTGAAAAAATTGACAAATTAAAGTTGAAAAAACCAATACTTTTTCTAGTTTTCATTTTGAATATTCAATACCTACTAATTATTATTTTTAAAATTTTACAGTTTCGGAATTTTACGATTTCAGAACGTTTCCATTTTTCAATTACTGAATTTTAAAACTTTTTCATTGATTCAATTTTTAATTTTTGAATTTTGGGACATTACTTCAACTTTACAATTTTGAGGATTCTATAATCGGTTTTTCGGTTCGATCCGTGTTTCCTTGTTTCCAATTTTTCGATTCATAAACTTTTTTCGGTTTTTAATTTTAGTTTTTCAATGTTTCGATTTTTCGTTTCTTCAGTTCGTCGATTAGCCGTTTTCCGACTTTCCACTTTTCGATTTTGTAATTGCTCGTTTTTTCAGTTTTTCGATTTATTATTTTTCTCCGATTTTTAAATTTCTCAATTTTTCAACTATTCTATTCAAAAAAATGGAAAAGTTGCAAATTTGCAAAGTTGAAAAATCAAAAATGAAATTACGAAAAAGTATAACATAAAAACAAAATATTTTAAAATCGAAATATTGAAATGAAAGAAATCGGTAAATCCGATATTTATTTATCCAAAAATTACAAAATTGAAAAATTGAGGAATTGGAAAAACGGGAACTTGAAAAATCAAAGATCGAACAAACATTGAAAAAAATAAAGGAAACGAAAAACGAAAAATTCTGATATAAAATCGAGAAAATGAAAACTTATTGGGAAAATGAATAATAAAAATCAGGAATTTGAAAATTGAGGGAACGAAAAATTGCAAAATCAAAAAATTAGTTGAAAAAATGCAATTCGTTAAACTGAAAAAATTAAAGTTGAGAAAACGAAAAATTAGGAAATTTTATTTTTTTATGATAACCCTTATAAATTAAAATAAAGATATGTATGTAATATTAAAATAAATTTAAAGAAGCATGCTACGTGTTTGTTTCAATTGAGTTTTTCCAATACAAAATTTTAATAGTAACAGTAATGTATTCCCAAATTTTCTGGAAAATGAAGTGAATCTTTCTTGATTTTTATCAATACAATAAATTGCCTCATTGATTAATTTTCTTTACGTCACCTTGTATAAGTGATTTTAAAAACTATGAGTGCATTGATAAACCACAATCATAAAATCATAATATAGGTTTTTTGGTCCTTCCCGAAGTGGAGAGTTAATCAAAAAAGGTTAGGAGTAGCAAAATAAGTCCAAACTCCACAGATATAATTCTGATAATTTAATGTACGTTAGGGGACATGTTTCGAAGACTAGCTGTATTCATCTTCAGCCTATGTAGAAAAACTAAAGGAAAAAATTAGATGTTAAAAAGTTAATAAATACAAACGACGATGTAAGCATTCTCACCTCAGTAAATTTTAAAATAAAAGTCATAATACTTTGCATACCATTTCAGAAAGGATTTATTCGGTAAAATTTTGGGTGACGTCTTCAATTTTTGGGAAGGAGATAAACGAATAAATTTTGGTTAATGATTTACCTTGATTACGATAACCTTAAAACTTTTACAAGGTTTTAGAGCATTCAGTTTTGCAGTTTCAAAATGAAATTGTAAAATGTTGATTACAATTTTGATTCTTTTTTTTAATCTGGATGTCTACGTAAAAAGGGAACACGGATTTATAAACCACATGTGCAGGATTATCTTATTTTATAAAATTGAAATAATATTTACTAATGTAAATTTTGGAAAAGACGTCATCCTAATTCGGAGAGATGGCCGGAACTGGTGCCTATTTTTTTCTTACTCAAAGGGTCATGAAACGTCGAGAAAACATAAAAGTAGCAGTCGTCCGATGGACTCGATTACAATACTTCCTTAGTGAAAATAACACTAATTAAATTACGATTACATTCAATTTTAAAAATTAAGTGCAATAGAATTTCAAGTTAAGACTGATGAAAATTTTATAATACAATTTGAATATTTTTCTAAAAATCTGCAAATATTAGATAATCAAAGCGTTTGCACGGTTTGAGAACAGTTGATTTTGTATAAATTCTCAGGATAAAAAAAATAGGGACCGATTAGAAAACCATAGGTAAAAACATATTATTTTATAACATTTAAAGAGGATTTTGGTTAACGTTTAAACATCTTCACGCAAATAAAATCGCTAACAGGAGGACT